TTCGTGCCATCTCGGTACTGTTGGCGAACACGCACTGAAGTTGCAGAGCTCTGAGGACAGCCAAACGATTGTATATAAATATTTCACCGTTATCAATGTTTTCAACGTACGCTCCGTGCTTTAGTGGCTAGCGCTGCGCGCTCTGGGTAGCGAGGTCACTGGTCAAGCAACCCACAAAGAATCTTCTCCTCCTCATTTATTTCTTCACTATCTGATAGTATATATCCGTGACGAAACTACATCAGTGGAGCCGTGGGGGATCCCGTCATACAAAACTTTCATGTTAAAAGAAAAAAAATACCTCGTTCGAGATATATAAATAGATGCACGTCAGGCACGCACACGCCACACTTCGTTTGCCCCCATTTCGCCAATATGGCAATTGCTCCTAAATTTTGATGTCGCCCATTCTTCGCTTTGCTTCGACACAAGTTCACGCAAGGACCAGATAATACATGCGCCAAATCAAGGCTTCTTACCCTCTCGGCCGAGCAGTCCTGCAGATCGAAGAGGAGCTTGGTACGCGGGGGCCCCGTAAGACCCACGGTGGGCCGCGAGGGCTGGTGCAGCGTGCCCCGCGTACGGCTCCATAGGAGCGGCATGAGGGAACTCGAAGTAACGAGCGCGGCCCGGAACACCTTCTAGTCCATCGTGGCGTGACCGGTGGAAAGTGGGTGGGAAGGCACGGTTCTCTTTTCTCGTAGTTCTCTGGTCTCGTAGGTCGTAGTGGTAATTGCCACGTACGGGTCCACGTTTCCATGGAAGCTGTCCTCTCGAGTCGTCCACCATTTTCTGCAGTCAAGACAGTCACGCCAATAGTTGTAAGAAAACGGTGATGGCTGCACAAATATCTGGAGTCGCATGTTCACTGGTCGCATGAACACTGATCTATTCCCCTGTCATGGTGAAAATTATCAGTATCTCCCTTCTCTATTTCTGTTGATTGTTCAGATCCCCTTGGCCTTCTCTCAGAAGCTTTCGGGATCTAACCCAGTCTTGTACTGCTCCAAATTCAAACGGATAATAACTTTTCTACACCTCATATTTCTTTGCAGTGCCTGGAGGATAGCGTTACCTTTGACCAAAAGACGATGTAATATGATAACGTCACCGTGTTATATCGCAGAAACGTCATGCCATCACAATGGTCGATTGATTTAATGATTTGTTGAGTGGCTGATTGTTGGGGTTTAATGTCCCGAAAGCACGATTTGAATTATATTTTTAATGGAGTGGTCCAAAAGGTCATACCACGCGGAGTTTATTAACGTGCACTTAAATCCAAGTTCACAGGTGACGTCACAATAGAGTTACATCTTATGGCGATGTTTTACATAACAGCGTGACGTCACTATTGAAAATTTGTCTTGCCTCACTTGTGTCGACAACGACAGTAACTCTTCGCATTCGGTGAGGAAACTGAGGCTTTTGCCTTAAATTACAATTATCATCACTGTACTCTAGGTGTTAAACATCAAACTTCCTGCTCATACGTTCACTGACACGATTGATTTTATGCTGCATTTTTTGCCGCTAATATACTTACTCTGATGCCATTGCACCACTTTAATACCCCCCAGTATAAGCAAACCAAGCTTAAAGGTTCACCACTAAATAATGCACCTTCACATTGTATTGCTTTAGGAGAGTGAAAAGCCGAATAACTTACGTTGGTTGGTTGGTCGGTTCCTTAACACCTTGGCGCAACCCACCTAGGGGGATAGGCCATGAATGGGATGGTGCCTTGCTTTTTAAATTAATTCACTTCTTGAAAGAGAGGGTTGGATTAATTAGGTAATATAGGTAATAATAAAAAGGTGTTACATTTCAAAAAAAAAGAACCTTGAAAAGCAAACATATAAACATACAAAAAAGAGAAAATAAATTATAGATAAATCAACTGAAGTTACCTAATTTCAGAATTCCATTCTTTTAGATTCTCGTAAGAAATTTGTAACAGCGGTAAAAACGCTCCTGTGGCTGAATCCAATTGCGACTGCGCCAAATGAAAGAATCACCGGAAGTGTCAAGTTTAAGCCCAACTTTCGTAAGGGTTCTTCGAGTAGATTTTCCCTTTGAGTTTTCAATTTTCGGCATGACAAAAAGAAGTGCTTTAAAGATTCCCTCTCATTACAATAAAGGCACAAAGGCGAGTGTGCCAGACCCGACCTGCGAAGGTAAAAGTTCAATGAGGGGACTCGACAACGCAGCCTGGTAATTACTATTTCTTCCTTCCTTGATGAACACCACTTGTTCTTCCAAGGGAACTTTAGCTGTGTGAAGTCTGATACAAACAAAGGGGATTTTTCAAAGTTATTGGCCGTTGTGCGTTTTTCAAAGCGTGCTGCTGTTATATATTCAGAAATAGGCAAAATAGGCAAAACAGGACAATCAAGGGAAGATACAGCTAGTGCATCTGCATGCTCATTCAGAGCTAAACCTCTATGGCCTGGTACCCAAACTAGTCGGACGAGTCGCACATGTGTAGGAATGAGCGAGTAGAAAGTTTCTAAGGTACGCGAAAAAGTTGGTCAGCTTAAGGCAGTACAGACCGAGAGACAGTCTGTTATAACAATCACCGCTGATAGATCTTGCGGCACTTTACGCAATGCAAGGACTATTGCCAGTAGTTCAGCTTGGTAAATAGGTGTAAAGTCGGGTAATCAAATTGCGAAAGCCCAATCTAGAAAGGATGATACGATTCCTACACCAGCCTTCTCTCCATAAACCGAAGCGTCAGTCACTATCACAATGGATGTTTCTAGATTGGCCAAATGATCTTCCAAAATGCCATTTATATACTGATATGGTAAAGTTTTTGCATTCTTGGGATATATATCGTCAAATTCTATCCTAATTGCATCTACAGTGTTGAGCACAAGTGTTTCCCAAAGGTTAACTCTTAAGGGCTCCAAAAGTTTCTGAGTAAATATTACTTGAGGACACCTTAATTTAGGCCATTGGTGGTTGAAGAATGAGGTCTGCTGGCTAATGAACACATACTGTGCTCTCCGCTCAGGTGATGCATAGATTTTAAGGAATGTACGTACTGTTAGAATATGAAATCTTTTGATAAGAGAAGGCAGGCGGGATTCTTCGTATAGGATATTGTTGGCAACATATTTGGGTAGCCCTAGGCATAAGCGTAAAGATTCGCGTTCTAGCAGAATCAGTGGTCGAACTCTGTAGGCCGGAGCGCCAGAAAACAAAACACAGCCGAATTCTAGTATCGGTCGAATGTACATGCAATATATCATAATGAGCACGTCTCTACGCAAACCGGCATGATAATTACTGAGCCTGTGCAGCATCCCTACGGCACGTGCTCCTTTAGCGGCCATGTTTTCTATGTGGGGACTCCAGTTTAGTGTTTCGCTGTAGGTTACCCCCAAGTACCTAACTGACTCGACCTGAGGTATGGTGTCCTGCCGGTACGTTAGTGAAATTCGCACTGGGGCATTTTGTGCAAAAACTATGATTGTACTTTTGTTTGTATTGAGGCATAGGTTGATATCCTCCAGCCACGTTTCCAGACTAATAATGTATGTCTGCAGAACCAGGTACATTGTGTGAATATCCGCCGACGCAGCAAAAAATGCAATATCATCTTCATACCCATAGACCTGTACATCTTGCTGTATGGGAATGGAACATAGTAGAGCATTAAATAATAAGGGCGATAGTACTGACCCTTGCGGTACACCTCTCGTTTGCCTGTATACTGAAGAGTTGACACCAGATTGCGAGCAGTAAAATTCTCTATCACCTAAGAAAGCATGGATCAAGGCCACAAAGTATTGAGGTAGTCCTAAATTGTGAAGTAAATCTAGCAGTTTAACATGCTCCACGCTATCATAGCTCCACGATATCATAACTTACGTGTTTCTGCCTCGGTGGAGAGCAACTGCTTCTTCCTCTTCTTCGTCAATGAATTCATACCACGTGCTATCTTCATAAACTCATGCAAATGTGATCGTGGTCACAATGATGTTTTACGTGGCCTACCCCGTAAAACGGTCCAAAAAGCAGATAAATTCTAACAAAATTGGAACGTAGTTTAACGCTCCTTAAACATAATTATCAGAAGTATGATGATAAAGGGCGTTAACGGTTGTACTTATACAAAGTCGAGTCTTCGTAGCTTTCGCCGAACCCGTGAGCTTGAAAACTTCATCTGCGTACACAGACTCCACACAGACTTTAGGTTGCCTAAATCCCTTGTGAACTCACAATTCAGGCTGCCTAAATCGCCTGTGACATAAAACACATCGCTTGTCATTCAAATATGCAGATAAAATGGAGTCGGCAGCCTTTTACTACGCCAAGTTAACACGGGTGTCCTGTCATCAAACCAAAGACCAACTACTTTTGCCGCTAGTTCCTTTGCCCCGAAAGAACGGCTTTGTTGTGCTCGAGTGATTTTTTTCACGTAATACGTGTGCCCTCTTCCCTCAATATGCATCAAACCGAGAATGCCAGCTGTTGTTTGAAGGCGACGTTTTGCAGCGACTAAAGATTCTGCCTAAAAGAAAATGTATGTAGCCATAAAAAAGGCCGCTAACATAAAGCTATGATAAGGCTGCTGAAATCTGGTACTTTTGTTTTTGAAGAACGGGCAGGAGTCTTTACGGTCTGGCTCTGAGTCTATGTCTGGATATTGTGGTGAAGTTTGAAGATAGGTGAAAGCAAACGTGTGAGTCCAATAGATCAGAAGTATTTGAACACCGGTTCTATTGCCTTTTTAATCAGTTTTTTCGTAAGCATTGTTTATAGAGATATTGATAAATAAAGTAAAGCATAAAAATGTTTTTTCGTCAAAAACGTGGTTCTGTTGCCTTCGTGGCAAATGAAACATTCAGTAATAGTTGATGATTGACACAGAGTACCACTACTGATTATTTTGTTTTACTGAAAAACAATGAAAAGTGACTATATAAGCTCGAACCACGAGACGTCGTCGTTCATTAACTCGCACGTCGTGATGCATGGAACGTCTACGTTTCCCTAGCGACAAAGTGTCGTTACTAAAGCGGACTAGCATTGCTGGAACTTCCGTTCGCCGCCGCCGATGCCGCTGCGGCCTCCAACACGGCCCGTAAGTAGACCGAGTCGTCGGGCTGACCGTCGAAGAAGTAAGCGGTGCCCACCACCACAATGAACAGGAAGCCCACCAGAAACACCGCGACCAGCATCCTCTGGTGCTCCTTGGCCCACTGAGAGCGTGTCCACCTCGGGTTCTGGATTAGCTGGTCGGTGGCGTCGTCAGCGGTGTCCGCGCAGTCGACTTTCCCCGAGCGTCCGCCTTCTGCCCCACGACGACGAGACTTGGGCGACGTCTTCAACCTCGTGGTCGAGTCGAAGCTCACCGAATCACTGCTGCCGTCAATGCCGTCTAGGTTGAGGGTAGTCACGCTTGAGTTCATGTCTGGCTCGCCCGAGCAATGCATCTAGCGGAAGCCTGCACTGCAAACCACTACACAACATTAAGGGTGTGTTTTCAGCAAAGCCCCTAACTTACACCACTTTTCTGTGAAAAATATCTGAATGGTTGTAATTTACGTAAGCTCAATCTTTGTACACCCCTTTGTCATTTTTGATGTACTAGAGGTGTATGTGAACATTGACACTCAGGGGCGTTTCCTTGAACACTACACCTATCATATAGAGCATCAATACATATCACATATCAACGGATGCAATCAAACCGCATGGCATACGTTTGGTGAAAAGATCGACGTCTCAGCACTTGTTTTCATTTCAGGTTTCCTTCGCTAAATATATCACGCTATAAACTACGTTTATTATAACTAATTGTGAAGATGAAAATGAATGTTTCACGATACTTAGCCCCAGGGATATCGGCTGATCACACTGGATAAGATAAATTGCATGAAATACGGTGTCTTCTGCTGAAAAGACTGTTCGGTCTGCTAATCAATGATACCACGATAAAAATTACCCGACTTGAATGTCAAATCATGAAGAGAATTCAGTAGGCAACCAAACGTTTTCAGCATGGTGTTCCCTAAAATCATTTTGATTACGCAGAAGTAAAGCTACTCAGTTATCTAAAAGTTCCTCCTGGTCCGAGAATAAAAAATCTGTATTGATTCAGTTGTGCCTTTGAGCTAAGCGTGAGTGATTGTAAGTTTCTATTACTGAACCTTCCACCACCTTGCGGATTTCAATAGAAATCATTTGAAATATCGCATATAATCCTATTACAATAAACTTGATGCACCTTGAAAGGCAACAATAAAATCTTTCGCCTCAGCAGGTAGCAAGGTGCTGCCTTCGAACACCTATAAGTAGGCATGAACTACTGACTTCAGAACGTGTTACAATACTTATGCCATGCTGGCCCGAATAATGATTGCTTGTGTTACCCATACAATATCTGCATAAAATTAGCTACCTCAAGTTGTACGATGCTCCAAATGCTGTATCTTCGTATTAACAATTATTGCAATATTTACTCAACGCATCGCTAAGCACACAACACTATCTAGTGTAACTCAGCGTTTCAGGCTACAAAAATAGGTCAGTTACCACCACGTGTAATTTTGTTGAAAGCTGTATTATGGCATTATGCTTCAGGCTAAATTTGTGCATTGGCCATACTTTAGCCCTGTTATATCAAAGCCCACCTTCTTTCCTCAGTTCTGTATAGAGTGGTGTATACATTCTTGCATTTTTTTTTATTTGCCTGCAATTCACTTCTACAGGCTTACCTCCAGAGCTGATGTTTTGTGGGTTCCTATCTATAGACAGGTGTATAAGCACCGAGTTCAGAAACATTACTCACTTAAACCTTTTTAAAAATTAATTCATTGTGCGCCTCTTTCTCCACTTTCCTGTTAGCGGTTGTGATGTTTTGACTTATGCTCGAATTCAATTTGTCTAGACAACAGCAATTTCTCATCTGTGCTGAAAACGTAAGTGTAGACCGGAAGTTAAGTGCAGACCAGAAGTGAATCTTCTATAGTGTGAAGCCCTCCAATAAAGGAGCTTAAGGGTAAAAATACGCACCAAGATATCACGTGACGAACAGGAAGCTGCTGAGTAGAACGCAGATGTCACTTTAGAGTCACGTGACTGAAATAAACGCAATGCTCACAATCAGAGACTCGAATTACTTCAATCGAAAACCAGTGCGTAAGTTTTCACGCACAATTGTAATAAGACACATTCTATGGTAGCATATACGAGTTTTGGAAGCCCTTTCTTGGACATTATCCTGCGAAACACCGCTTTGTGGCATAATTCCGGTAAACTGTCTACCGCTGTCGTTACTACGTGCCTCCACCTTTGCCTTCCTGTCATTTCTATCAATACAAAGCATACAGCAAAACAACAATTCACTTTGTTGAATATTATAGCTTGCATGAATTCAACAGCAATGCTAGAGCTTTACATGGCCTTTAAAGATTATGTTGTCTGCCTGTGTTCATAACAATATAACGCAAGGTTCTACTACTCACGTTGTCTTCATTCGAAGCTCCTGTACCTGAAATTACCGCTTTGAAATTTTAATTGACAGTTTTTGTTGCTTTCTGAAAGCTCTGAATGTCTGTGCTTACGTAACCCATTTGCAAACATGATGCGGAAAGTGTGATCACCGTCTGTACTATTCAATATGTAGACTACCGGAAAGAGCGTTTCGTACGAGTACACTGTATTCGACCGGGAGACATTCGACATAATTTTTGTGGGGTCCGTCCTATATACTGTAATACTAGCTGACGTTAAGAACGACAGCACCTAACTGTGCTGTCCTACAGGCCCATGAAGTGGCAGAATGAGGAGGCCTTGGCGCTACGACATTGGAGACATGAGCCCAGGACACTAATATTCCGGACACTCAATTAGCTTTTCTCGGCCATACATCCAACTCACCTTCTTTTTCTTGCTGATGTGGCCTTAAAACTAGGCTCGTGCCCACTATGTATATTGTTGCCATCTTCTGATTGTGAACATCAGTGCCTACGTGTGTGTGCCTCATGACTTTTACCATCAGAAAGACAAAGAACATTATTCGCAATGGTTTGTGATAAGGAATCATGAGCTACATGAGTGTGGCCCCAAGTTCAGAGACTTTCCTGGTGACTTTTTTTACCCACCACTCACAAGGGGAGGGGCGGGGCTTAAAGCGAACGTGTGTTCTCTTTGTCATCACTTTATTTGATTTAACTTTTGTTTATCTCTTCTCTAACCTGCACTGGTTCACTCTGCAGCATCAATCAAAAGACAGCGGGACTAAGCAGCTCAGCCACTTGCCCCTAACATTCTTGATAGATTAGGAGATTTCCAATCAATCATCTATTCTACAGGGATGGTGCACCTCAGTATCCTTACTAAAGGAAGTCTGCGGGAATATTTCATGCTTATAGAATAGTAAAATATTAGTGGTTTCTTATGCAATGCTAAAGACAGCAAAGTCGAAGCAGTGTAATCTTCTGAGACACTAATTTATTGTTCATCTTATCAGTGAGTTTTTTTTGCACTTTGGGGATTTTTCTTTGTCAAATAATTACGATTATTCGATTATTGAATTTAGGAATACCTCATAGACCTCGAGGGAAGGACATGACAATCGAAACATGTGAAACATGGCAACCGTGAGATATGAACAATGGTACAGATAAAATTTCAGCTGCATTCATTATATTTAGTTGCCACTTGGCGCCTGTGTGTCAGTGTCGCCTATCTCATGGGTGTGTGTTTTTGCTATCACTCCCGTGGTACACCTTTAGAAAAAGTGAAGTAAAAAACTAATCAAACCTAAATCGCGATCATTAACCTTTCTTCATTTTCATTTTGCAATTGTACTAACTAGCGTTCAACACATGATCTCCGTGACGTCTTTTCGGCTTCAGCAATTTACTTTCGCCACATGCACTTAGCAGACCAACAGGCTTGTTTTTGTTGAACTTGTCTGGTGGTTCATACCCATTGTGGGGGATTGGCGAAGATTTGAGTGGTCTTAGAAAACGTTATGAAATTTTAGAGTGATGCACGTTATACAATAACAAAATTACAAATTTTGGTGCTCACACACATGTACAAATTGAAGCGCTTTTACTAGTACTAGGTAAAACACTAAAAAACACTTCATATAGAGAAATCAAATAAATTAATGACCTCCAAGATCTGTACATTTTCTTACAGACATGGTTACGTGATAGAGGTGGCGCTTTCGATACCACACCTTATTTATACTCCGTGAGCATTGTGCAAAAAGAAAGCGACGAAGAAGAAGCTTGCTCATCGTGGTACGCGCCCTATGCACGGCAGTGACGTTTCTTTGAAAAACCACTGGTAAGCACAAGAGAAGTTTTCTTTATTACCATCGCTTGCTTGTGGAAAGTAAGCGCATGCTTACTTTCCACAGCTTTCGCCCGCAGCAGTCACTGCACGACTCTGACGCTCTTCAGTAGGACCAGGAGATTAGCCTGTGGTGAGCTCATGGGAAAGCATTCGAAATCTGGCACAATTTCAGATTACGTGCATCTCAACACGAATATGACGCCGGTGCTCTGAAAGCTCTGTCTTTACCATTCGTATAGCTTATAATGAAACCTCTCTTCTATTTCTAAAAAAATACTTATGAGCACTCTAGTAGCTGTTTATATAGACCTTTTTTAACGTGGGTGCTGCCATATTGTCTGGCGGGGGGCGCCGTTCCGGGTCTGGCAATTGAAGCGTGTGACGCTCCGCATTTCTGTGGAAGGTATTCGTACGGTTGCAGTCGCAATAATTCTTTTTTCATTTTGTTGCACTGAATTTCGTCTCAATTGATACAGTATAAGTAGGAATTGAGTCTGTGAAACAACCTGAAAGGCTTTGATTCCTTTAGAGTTAAATATGATGATACGCAATGGCACGAACGTGTAGCAACTGGTTGATGTCATGTTTTCTACACTCTTTGTGATGGAAAACCTAAGAGAAAAAAACGTAAGGATATTTTGATCCGTTCTAGCAGGACAAGTCAGTGTTGGCACCATTTGTGGATATATTGATTTTTTTTTACTGCACCGTAACGTTCAAGCGTGTTTTTGCACTCGCGATTTGTTTATGCAGCCGCGGGGACTACCTTCCGCACATGCGATCGTACATGAGCACGAAGATGTGAATTGTTGTCGACAAAGGCATTTGTTTGTTGCTCACCAATTGTTGTTTATAATGTGCTCGCCTTTATTTACACCTCATTACTCGATTGTTATTTTTCCTCAGGGTGCGGAAAGAATAGCGCTGTTTACAGGGAGTTAGTGGCACACAAAAAACAATGCTGATGCTTGCATGCCAGCGTGTTTCTTTCTTTTTTTTAGAGTCGTGGCGTTTGATTGGATTCCGGTGGTGGTATAGTGAAAACAGATAGTTTCTTCTGTCGATGAGGTACCAAGCCTGCCTGGCCTAGAGCTCATGATCGGCATAAGAGTCTTTTTTGTGTTTACTTCTTAAAAAGACTTTCACCAGTTTTATGATTTTTACGAAATATTGGGTGTCATTCGCCAAGCTTAGCAGTGAAGTTGACACTTGTAGGAACAATACACAACCGCAATACCGGGGTTTCATTTTCATTTTTTTTGCAGTTAGTACAGAATCAACTATGGTGTATATATCGTTGCGCGACTTGTTAGACATGGTTTTTCACCATAGAAATAAATCTCAACTTAGATTCCAAACATTAGGTGACAGTCAAAAGCAACGCTGTTGATGCCCTTGAGGCGGCCGGTTGAGGCGTCTGTGCTGTGCCTTGTACCGACGTCCTCCGCTCAGATCGGTATATTTAGCCGGAAGCAGGAGATATGACCTAATACTTGTCAAACAAGCCTCCCCCTGCTGCGGAAGGGTTAGGTGCGAAGAGGCAGGGGGCAAGTTCACCGGGCATCAAAAAAACATGTGTGATCTCACTTAGTGATGAAGCTGTCACGATAGCGGCAAGTCGTCAAGAACGTTCCAGAATAAAAAAAAAGGCAAGGATGTCGTTCAGCCAACTGTCAGCGTTGCGAGAAATGTGCCAAGCGCCTCAACGCGCTTTCTTGAAATCTGTACTTTTCTTTGAGATTGTTGTTCATCTCATGGGGCATGCGTTCTTGGCTTGATAGTGACATCATATGATTTGAGTTCCACATGCCCCAACTTTACGTCGGCCCAATAGGAAATATTTGTTCGGTTTATTTACTTAGGCGACGCTGATTTCATTGTGCAATATATTGAAGCACTTCTTCCAGATGGTGTCGCGATTCTGATCAACAACGCCGAGCAAAGTCATTTATGCAACGTGCGTAACGTTATGGACGGAGTAACGTGCGTACGACACTCTGTGCGCAGTCGACCTAAAAACATTCCACATAGGTATTTGCAGTGGCACGTGCTTGTTGATTTTATGCGTAAAGCTCCTTGGGGGGCTTACTTGGCCCGCCGATGTGTCGGCTTTCACAGGGGTATCACAACATCTGCCACACAGCTGTGTTTGACTACGGCATTCGTCCAAACGTCTGTCTGTCCATGCACGCATGTGGCGTGCGTATGTCTATCCGTCCAATGCGTCTGGCCTTTATAATATACACCGTTTTAAATGAAGACATTATGTACTCTAAAACATGGCTTCATCCACTCGTTATCGTCAACTTCGTGGAGACGAGTACATTTTCTTACTGCGGTACCTTTATTCATGCACCACACAAGTGTGCGGGAAGATAAGTAGAACACTCACACAAACGAGACATTTTGCGGCAGAACTCTTCTTTTTGTGTTTTTTTTTTTGCTTCCGTGTAGCGATGGATGGCACCACGGCGCTACTGGAGGGTGCTGCCGGAGGACCAGAAGACGGAGATCTTCAGGTAAAAATCTTTTTTTACAACGAAGCTGTATTGGCTGCGGAACTTGTCCTTTCGTGTGCTAATGCGTATCTTAGGAATTGAGCGTACCCAACTGCTCTGCACTAGTTCCCTAAAGGCGGAGCCGTCCGCGGAGAAAAACATTGTACTTACAAGGAATTGAGCACACCAGACTATTTACCATTGTTTCCTTAAAAAGTGAAGGGAGGAACACGTCAGCGGCAATCCCCACTTGAGGTCATGCTTGAAATG